TATATGTATGTGTGTGTGTGTGTATATATATATGTATATATATTATAATATTTAAACAGAATGCAGTTTTGCATTCCACGGTGCTGTTTCCATAATTTTTCTATGCAAATCTGCGCTAGACAGACGTGTTTGACTGTTACGCTTGCATTTTTCACATGACACACCATTCTAAAACCCTTTAAAAACAATTTTTTTTCATGTTCCGCATCTTCCGATTTTAATGGTCCCTAATACTGCAGGATTTATAATATATCAATATTTAGTTTATTTTAAGGTTCTCAGATCTCAGATTTTAAATGTGATCTCAGATGACTGTTTAGTTATAAAGTTTAAGGTCAGTAAGATCTTGTTGTTATTTTCCAAGAAATTAATACTTTTATTCATCAAGGATGAATTAAATTAAATGCAGCATTAAGTCTTTAGCATTAAGAAATCTTACATTGCATGCATTATGTGTTTTCTCATGACTTTCTTCATAGATGTGTTCAGTGAGTGTTACCAGAGCAATGAGAGCCGCTCTTTCAAGCTTCTCATCAGACAGTCACCTGTATGGGGTAGCGCCACCTGTCTGCAGATGGCCACCGCAGCTGACGCCCGCCTCTTCTTCAGCCATGATGGAGTGCAGGTAAGCAGTGCTCATGTTTACCTGTTGGAGTGTCGATATTTCTTAGTTACATTGGTGTCATGGTTCTTCATCCCATCCATGGCTAGACTTTACTGTCAGAGATTTGGTGGGGGGACATGGACAGCAATACAGAAGTGTGGAAACTAGTCCTCTCGTTTTTTCTGCCTCCCTTGATCTACACCAACCTCATCAGTTTCAAGTCAGTACCCAATATTTTCGACCAAGATTAGATTTCTTTCTGGTACAGTCGTCAAAGTTTTAATGCCCTTCGATCTCTTAGGGAGCAGGAGAAGAACGAAAAGCCAGAGGAATTTCATCAGGGTAAAGAATTAGACAGCGTCGATGGAGCCGAGTCATTGGCTGATGTTATAAACACGTAATTCATGGTTTCTCAGCACCATAAATAATTTCACTAAGTTAAAGATCAAACACAGATAAAATAAAGAGAGTCATACATGTGCTTCACAGGGAGGACGACGTGGAGGAATGTAACGCTTTAAGAGGAAAACCGGAAGGTGCGTCTAAATGGCATGATCACAAATCCTGTTAAACTTTGACTTGCTGTAAGGAGCTTACATCTTTATTTTTTATATTACAGCATCAAAGGCGATCACTCTAAAACGGCCTTTTTTATTGCACCGATGGCGGCAGTTCTGGTTTGCACCGGTCACTTCGTTTCTAGGCAACGTGTTGATGTACTTCCTCTTCCTTTTCCTGTTTGCTTACATCCTATTGGTTGACTTCAAGCCCCCGCCTCCCGACGGACCCGCCCCCTCAGAGCTTGTGTTGTATTTCTGGGTTTTTACTCTGGTCTGTGAGGAGATTCGACAGGTACGAACAGTCTTCATTGCGTTTACACACATTTCAATGCACTTGTTCAGTCTGCTGAAACGTGATCTCCCTCTCAGACGTTTTTTGTAGGATCTACCACTGTACTTCAAAGAATGAAGTTGTACATCCAAGACATCTGGAACAAGTGTGACATCACGGCCCTCGCGCTCTTCATTCTTGGGCTTATCTGCAGGTGAATTCAGTGAAATCTGTCCTGTGTATGTTTGTGCATGTGATGGTATTGGTTAGTGCATGTGTGTTTTTGTTACAGGATGTTTCCATGGACGTATAATTTCGGTCGTGCGGTACTGTGTGTCGACTATGTGGTCTTCACGCTCAGACTCATTCATATATTTGCAGTTCACAAACAACTTGGTCCCAAAATAATAATAGTTGGGAAAATGGTGAGAAGGAGTCTATCATTTTCAACGTGGCCTAAAAAGTGCATATAATCCTGCTAAAGAATGATCATATACTCCACAGGTGAAAGATGTGTTTTTCTTCCTGTTCTTCCTGGGGGTGTGGCTAATGGCATATGGAGTAGCCAATCAGGCGCTGCTGTACTCCTATGACTCTCGTCCTGGTTGGATAATTCGGCGAGTGTTCTACAGGCCATACATGCACATATATGGGCAGATACCACTGGATGAAATTGATGGTGTGTGTGTCTTTGTGTCTCTGTTGTGTTATTTTTGCTATACAGTTCCATCACAGTATACCTTTCAAAACTTTGGGGTCTGTCTATTTAAAATTCTGTTTTCTATCGAAAGTCTATTTTTTGTGACGATGTAAAAAGTCTTTACTTTTGATTAATTTAATGCATCCTTGCTGAATAAGAGTAGTACTTACTGACCCCAAACCCAAACTTTTGTACTTTCAGCTGATGTGTGTCTTTGTGTCTCTGTTGTGTTATTTTTGCTATACAGTTCCATCACAGTATACCTTTCAAAACTTTGGGGTCTGTCTATTTAAAATTCTGTTTTCTATCGAAAGTCTATTTTTTGTGACGATGTAAAAAGTCTTTACTTTTACTTTTGATTAATTTAATGCATCCTTGCTGAATAAGAGTAGTACTTACTGACCCCAAACTTTTGTACTTTCAGCTGATTTTATTGATTGTGTTGTAATAAGTTTTGTTCTTTGACTCTAGCTGACAAGCGACAGGAGAGAGAGTGTACAGATAATGTCACGCTCATCCATCAGGGGGCGGAGCCATGCCCACAGTCTGATGCTAACTGGCTGGTTCTTATTCTGCTGTCAGTCTACTTGTTGGTCACCAATATTCTGTTGGTGAACTTGCTCATTGCAATGTTCAGGTAAAAAACTACACCATCAACACTGATATAACATCACATGCCTTCCTGTTTGTATTTAAAACAATGATTTTATATGGACTTTAAAATGAATTACAGTAGCTGCTACTATGAACTGATGTTACAAATGTTACATGTCTGTATATGCAAGATGTTAGATTGCTAGATTTCTCCAAAAGTTAGCTCCATGGGCAATTGAGCACAAGCAGGTTTGAGTGCTTATTAATTTATAAATATTTTGATATGGCTTAGTTAAATAACGTTTAAGTTAAAAATTGCATCTGTGTAGTAACCAGTTTATGAAAGCAATAATTATTTATTAGCTGATATTACAAATGTTTAGTTAATATATACAAGAGTTGAAAAGTTTCAGGTCAGTAAGATTAAAAGAAATTAATACTTATATTCAGCAAGGATTTATTAAACGGATCAAAAGTGACATTAAAGACACTTATAATATTGCAAAGAAATTCAAATAAAATATTTCAAATAAATGCTGTTCTTGTGAACTTTCTATTCATTAAAGAATCCTGCAAAAAAAAAATTATCATAGTTTCCACAAAAATATTCAGCATCACAACATCAGTTTTCAGCATTGAAAATAAGAAATGTTTCTTGAGCACTAAATCAGCATATCAGAATGATTTCTGAAGGATCATGTGACACTGAAGACTGGAGTAATGATGCTGAATATTCAGCTTTGCCATCACAAGAATAAATTACATTTTCAAATTTATATAGAAAACCATTATTTTAAATATATTACTGTTTTTACCCAGTATTACTGTTTTAACTGTATTTTTGATCAATTACATTTTTAAGACACATAAGACACTCATTTCAAAAACAATAAAAAATTGTACCAACCCCCAAATTTTGAACAGTACAGTATGTTGATTGGATATATGTCAGCTGATATCGGATTTTCAATTATTCATGCTCATTTCCACTACTTTTACCTTTAAATAACTTTTGCCATCATCTTATTCTCACATAAAGTTAATCTTTAAAGACATAAATAATGGAACTAAACAGTTAAATGAAATCATTAGCCAATTTTAAAATGCGTATCCATAGCCAATTTTAAAATGCGTATCCATGATTCATATTGTACATTATTATGCGTAGTGTAGCATGTAATACGGTTCATTTTATTTATAGTGTCTTTTTTTTGTATTTTTAGACAAAATAGTATAATAGCTTTTAGTATAATAGCAAAATAGTTTTATGAAAATAATAATCAGCGTTGGTATCAGACAGAATTGTATTATTGGTGTATGCCTAGCAATGAAACACTAGTGGCAGAAAGGGTTCTTTTGCGGCTTCAATACTCTAACAATACAGCACGACCTCTCTAGCCGTATTGCTTAGTATGATTGTGTGTTCATGCTATTTGTCTACAGTTACACATTCAATAAAGTCCAGGAGCACAGTGATGTACACTGGAAGTTCCAGCGCTACAACCTGATCGTGGAGTACCACTCTCGCCCCTGCCTCTCCCCGCCCTTCATCATCATCTCCCACCTCCATATCTTCTTCAAAAGAGTCATTCAGAGATTGCCCTCCAATAAGAGCCAACACTTTAGTACGTTCTGATATATGATGCTACATTATATACAGTCTCATTTGATAATAAGGGATAGTTCACCCATGAAAATCCTCTCCCTCATGTCGTTCCAAACCTGTATGACTTTCTTTCTTCTGTGGAACTTTAAAGAAGATATTCTAAGAAATGCCTCATAGTTTTTTGTCCACAAAATGGAAGTCAATAGTCACCAAAACTGTTTGGTTACCAACTACCTTCAGAAAAGAAAGTCAGAAAGAAAGAAAGAAAGTCATACAGGTCTTGAATGTGACATGAAGGCCATGAAGAGGGCATGAAGAAGAGTAAATAATGACAGGGTTTTCATTTTTTGGAGGAACTATCCCTAGAGAGCTCTCCAAGTTGGAGACAGAGACTGAGACCAAGCTCTCAATGAAAGAACTTGCTCAAACCTTTGAGAATCTGGCTCATGGTGGGTGTGAATCAAGTTAAAAGATGGCAGATCGGACTGTTTTTCAGTGGGGCCCAAAATGCTTGTATTTTATATTTATTTCATAGGTTAAGTATAAGAATTAATAAAAAATATATTATAATATTTAAACAGAACACAGTTTTGCATTCCACTGCGCTGTGTTACCATAGTTTTTATATGCAAATATGCGCTAGACAGACGTGTTTGCCTGTTACGCTTGCATTTTTCACATGACACACCATTCTAAAAACTAAACACATTTTTTTCATATTCTGCATTTTCCCATTTTAATGGTCCCTAATAGTGCAGGATTTAAAATATATCAATATTTAGTTTTTTTTAAAGGTTCTCAGATCTCAAATTTTAAATGTGGTCTCAGATGACTGTTTAGTTATAAAGTTTAAGGTCAGTAAGATCTTGTTGTTATTTTCCAAGAAATTAATACTTTTATTCATCAAGGATGAATTAAATTAAATGCAGCATTAAGTCTTTAGCATTAAGAAATCTTACATTGCATGCATTGTGTTTTCTCATGACTTTCTTCATAGATGTGTTCAGTGAGTGTTACCAGAGCAATGAGAGCCGCTCTTTCAAGCTTCTCATCAGACAGTCACCTGTATGGGGTAGCGCCACCTGTCTGCAGATGGCCACCGCGGCTGACGCCCGCCTCTTCTTCAGCCATGATGGAGTGCAGGTAAGCAGTGCTCATGTTTACCTGTTGGAGTGTCGATATTTCTTAGTTACATTGGTGTCATGGTTCTTCATCCCATCCATGGCTAGACTTTACTGTCAGAGATTTGGTGGGGGGACATGGACAGCAATACAGAAGTGTGGAAACTAGTCCTCTCGTTTTTTCTGCCTCCCTTGATCTACACCAACCTCATCAGTTTCAAGTCAGTACCCAATATTTTCGACCAAGATTAGATTTCTTTCTGGTACAGTCGTCAAAGTTTTAATGCCCTTCGATCTCTTAGGGAGCAGGAGAAGAACGAAAAGCCAGAGGAATTTCATCAGGGTAAAGAATTAGACAGCGTCGATGGAGCCGAGTCATTGGCTGATGTTATAAACACGTAATTCATGGTTTCTCAGCACCATAAATAATTTCACTAAGTTAAAGATCAAACACAGATAAAATAAAGAGAGTCATACATGTGCTTCACAGGGAGGACGACGTGGAGGAATGTAACGCTTTAAGAGGAAAACCGGAAGGTGCGTCTAAATGGCATGATCACAAATCCTGTTAAACTTTGACTTGCTGTAAGGAGCTTACATCTTTATTTTTTATATTACAGCATCAAAGGCGATCACTCTAAAACGGCCTTTTTTATTGCACCGATGGCGGCAGTTCTGGTTTGCACCGGTCACTTCGTTTCTAGGCAACGTGTTGATGTACTTCCTCTTCCTTTTCCTGTTTGCTTACATCCTATTGGTTGACTTCAAGCCCCCGCCTCCCGACGGACCCGCCCCCTCAGAGCTTGTGTTGTATTTCTGGGTTTTTACTCTGGTCTGTGAGGAGATTCGACAGGTACGAACAGTCTTCATTGCGTTTACACACATTTCAATGCACTTGTTCAGTCTGCTGAAACGTGATCTCCCTCTCAGACGTTTTTTGTAGGATCTACCACTGTACTTCAAAGAATGAAGTTGTACATCCAAGACATCTGGAACAAGTGTGACATCACGGCCCTCGCGCTCTTCATTCTTGGGCTTATCTGCAGGTGAATTCAGTGAAATCTGTCCTGTGTATGTTTGTGCATGTGATGGTATTGGTTAGTGCATGTGTGTTTTTGTTACAGGATGTTTCCATGGACGTATAATTTCGGTCGTGCGGTACTGTGTGTCGACTATGTGGTCTTCACGCTCAGACTCATTCATATATTTGCAGTTCACAAACAACTTGGTCCCAAAATAATAATAGTTGGGAAAATGGTGAGAAGGAGTCTATCATTTTCAACGTGGCCTAAAAAGTGCATATAATCCTGCTAAAGAATGATCATATACTCCACAGGTGAAAGATGTGTTTTTCTTCCTGTTCTTCCTGGGGGTGTGGCTAATGGCATATGGAGTAGCCAATCAGGCGCTGCTGTACTCCTATGACTCTCGTCCTGGTTGGATAATTCGGCGAGTGTTCTACAGGCCATACATGCACATATATGGGCAGATACCACTGGATGAAATTGATGGTGTGTGTGTCTTTGTGTCTCTGTTGTGTTATTTTTGCTATACAGTTCCATCACAGTATACCTTTCAAAACTTTGGGGTCTGTCTATTTAAAATTCTGTTTTCTATCGAAAGTCTATTTTTTGTGACGATGTAAAAAGTCTTTACTTTTGATTAATTTAATGCATCCTTGCTGAATAAGAGTAGTACTTACTGACCCCAAACTTTTGTACTTTCAGCTGATTTTATTGATTGTGTTGTAATAAGTTTTGTTCTTTGACTCTAGCTGACAAGCGACAGGAGAGAGAGTGTACAGATAATGTCACGCTCATCCATCAGGGGGCGGAGCCATGCCCACAGTCTGATGCTAACTGGCTGGTTCTTATTCTGCTGTCAGTCTACTTGTTGGTCACCAATATTCTGTTGGTGAACTTGCTCATTGCAATGTTCAGGTAAAAAACTACACCATCAACACTGATATAACATCACATGCCTTCCTGTTTGTATTTAAAACAATGATTTTATATGGACTTTAAAATGAATTACAGTAGCTGCTACTATGAACTGATGTTACAAATGTTACATGTCTGTATATGCAAGATGTTAGATTGCTAGATTTCTCCAAAAGTTAGCTCCATGGGCAATTGAGCACAAGCTTGATTGAGTGCTTATTAATTTATAAATATTTTGATATGGCTTAGTTAAATAACGTTTAAGTTAAAAATTGCATCTGTGTAGTAACCAGTTTATGAAAGCAATAATTATTTATTAGCTGATATTACAAATGTTTAGTTAATATATACAAGAGTTGAAAAGTTTCAGGTCAGTAAGATTAAAAGAAATTAATACTTATATTCAGCAAGGATTTATTAAACGGATCAAAAGTGACATTAAAGACACTTATAATATTGCAAAGAAATTCAAATAAAATATTTCAAATAAATGCTGTTCTTGTGAACTTTCTATTCATTAAAGAATCCTGCAAAAAAAAAATTATCATAGTTTCCACAAAAATATTCAGCATCACAACATCAGTTTTCAGCATTGAAAATAAGAAATGTTTCTTGAGCACTAAATCAGCATATCAGAATGATTTCTGAAGGATCATGTGACACTGAAGACTGGAGTAATGATGCTGAATATTCAGCTTTGCCATCACAAGAATAAATTACATTTTCAAATTTATATAGAAAACCATTATTTTAAATATATTACTGTTTTTACCCAGTATTACTGTTTTAACTGTATTTTTGATCAATTACATTTTTAAGACACATAAGACACTCATTTCAAAAACAATAAAAAATTGTACCAACCCTCAAATTTTGAACAGTACTGTATGTTGATTGGATATATGTCAGCTGATATCGGATTTTCAATTATTCATGCTCATTTCCACTACTTTTACCTTTAAATAACTTTTGCCATCATCTTATTCTCACATAAAGTTAATCTTTAAAGACATAAATAATGGAACTAAACAGTTAAATGAAATCATTAGCCAATTTTAAAATGCGTATCCATAGCCAATTTTAAAATGCGTATCCATGATTCATATTGTACATTATTATGCGTAGTGTAGCATGTAATACGGTTCATTTTATTTATAGTGTCTTTTTTTTGTATTTTTAGACAAAATAGTATAATAGCTTTTAGTATAATAGCAAAATAGTTTTATGAAAATAATAATCAGCGTTGGTATCAGACAGAATTGTATTATTGGTGTATGCCTAGCAATGAAACACTAGTGGCAGAAAGGGTTCTTTTGCGGCTTCAATACTCTAACAATACAGCACGACCTCTCTAGCCGTATTGCTTAGTATGATTGTGTGTTCATGCTATTTGTCTACAGTTACACATTCAATAAAGTCCAGGAGCACAGTGATGTACACTGGAAGTTCCAGCGCTACAACCTGATCGTGGAGTACCACTCTCGCCCCTGCCTCTCCCCGCCCTTCATCATCATCTCCCACCTCCATATCTTCTTCAAAAGAGTCATTCAGAGATTGCCCTCCAATAAGAGCCAACACTTTAGTACGTTCTGATATATGATGCTACATTATATACAGTCTCATTTGATAATAAGGGATAGTTCACCCATGAAAATCCTCTCCCTCATGTCGTTCCAAACCTGTATGACTGTCCTTCTTCTGTCGTTTGAGAGAGGCGGGGCATAGAGGACCTACAATAATGTACAGTATTTGAAAAATAATGTGTTTTTTGAACATTAAAGCATGTCAACATATTCTGTTACACCAAATACACCAAATAATGATCTTTAAAAAAGCATCATATGACCCCTTTAAAGAAGATATTCTAAGAAATGCATCACTGTTTTTTGTCCACAAAATGGAAGTCAATGACTGTTTGGTTACCATCTACCTTCAGAAAAGAAAGAAAGTCATACAGGTCTGGTCAGACATTAAGGTGAGTAAATAATGACAAGGTTTTCATTTTTTGGAGGAACTATCCCTTTAACCATGAGGTGTGTCTTTTTCCATAGTGTTGGACCTGAAAAGCAAAGAGGCCAGTTTGCTAAACACATGGGAGTCGACGCTGAAGGAGAACCTGCTTTCCACACAAGGAAAGAAACAACGAGAGAGTGACACGGAGCGGCTCAAACGCACCTCCACAAAGTCAGTCAACCCTGTTACTGTTCTTTCATACTCTCAGATCAACAATTAACAACTTATTTCACATACTTCACATATGAGTTCTAAAAAAGATGAGTGAGTGGAGAACATATCCATCACTGACAAGTAGATCTGTATGTAATACACACCCGGGGGCATTTAGTAACCTCGCAGTGGCGGCTCTCATTTCACATTTATGTGCGTGTGAAGGGGGGGATAGACTGTCAACTCCTGCTGAATCAGGCACCGGCGTCTTGAATGACAGAATGTGTGTATTTGTGTCCATATGTGTGTGTAGGGTGGACAGTGTCCTGAAGCAGATGTCGGAGATTCGCGATCACGATCGCAGGTTGAGAAAACTGGAGTCGGAGGTTAGTGACGACTATGCACACCTGTCTACCTGTGGCTATCAAACACATTGACACCTGTTTTTAAATCCCAGAAGTGCCCCACAGAGTGCATGCATGCATCTGTGGGTGCAAGACTATGGGCCTTGCCTTATTTTAGCTGCAGCTGTTGTGTTTGCTTGCTCAGCGCAGACCAAGGCCCATCCGTCATGCTCCCTATCACTGTACGAGCCATTAGAATGTAGATCCACTTTGAGAATGTGCCAAGCTGTCAGCCGATCGATGTAATTAATGAACCTGTGCTTTAAAGGGAACCTCAGTTTTTTTACCAATACTCTCTCTTTTTCTGTTTACTTGTTACGCAGGTGGAGTACTGCTCTACTGCCCTCTCCTGGATAGTGGAGGCGCTGTCTCAGAGCGATCTTGTAAAGCAGACACGTCCACCTCCTCTTCCTTCCAAAGGTGTGGTGCTCACTCTCCTTTGCCTTTCCCCCTCTTTGCAGCGTCAAAGTGTAGCTTATGTTTCTCAGGTTCCCTCTTAGTAACAGTGTTTACAGTGTTGGTTTGGCTGTAACATTTTAATGATACTTATTTACATATAAATATACAGTTACAGTACTTTCTTACTGATGGAGACATAACATCATCACAGAATCTCTCTCTCTCTCTATAAATATATATATATATATATATATATATACATACACACAAAACTGGAGGGCACCCTTGTGGCACTCCTGGAGGGCCACAAGATAGATAGATAGATAGATAGATAGAAAGAAAATGTATGTATAAATCTTAGTGTTTTCAAATTTGTAATTACTTTTAAACACTATCAATATTATGTTAACTATCATGTCTCTTCTGGCTTTGTTTCAGGTATTGCTTCTAAACGGCCCACTTTTTCCAGATCAAAATTATGCTGATAATGCAGATACGTAATCGTGTGCATATTTTATGAACTTATTTTTTGTGTGATCCTTTGTGCCATTTCAGCTTGACATGTTAAATGTCAAGAAGACATTGTTTTTTTTAGATTTCTTACATTGTATCAGAAAGAATGATATGATTTGTTCTAAAGTTTTGAAATATCATATTTTGATTTAATTATTTGAGTTGACAAACCTCACCTAGGGGCATGGAGTAAACTCTCCTTTGATAGAAAAGAAAAAGAAAACAATAAAAATAATGTATTTATGATCAAAAAATTTTATTATTTTGTATAAATATACATGAAGACTTCAGATTTCTTTTAAATGAGCATTTTTATCAGGCTCCATATGTTTACGTTTACAGGGTTTCCGCGGGCCCTTAAAAAGTCTTACATTTAGTTGTATCAAATTTAAGGTAATAAAAAGTCTTAAACTGTACAAGAGAGTCTTAATTATGATTTCAGGAGGTCTTAAATTTGGGGACGGAAAGACCAGAATTGCGATGTGGCTAAATGTGACGATTAAACTTCAAACGGCTATTATTTCATTAAATAAACATGAGCGCTGCAGTTTCAAAGTCTGGTGCTGCTCTGATTTGTGTACTGCCGTTACCGGGGAAACTGCTATATTTCTGCTGTTCCGAAAGCGCCTCCTGCTGGCAGAGAATGAATGTGCATTTACAACATCCAGCAGCATAATGAACTGTTTTGCACAGCTAAATAGGCTAAATGGAGGTTGCTGACATCGCTTCACACACTCAAGTTCACGCCAGCTCTTACATTAAAAATAAGATGGAAATATCAAAAATTAATAGTTTCCATGGATCTAGTCTTTGCATCTGTTTGTTTGATGTTTGAATCAGGTCTCCTCTGTTGCCACAAAAAAATGGTCCTAGTAGAACTGCGGTCCTGAACCTGCAGCCTCCAGTATTGCAGGAACACAGTATTGGGGTTGTTTTTGTTCAGACCAATGTGAAAATCGACCCATGATTTTACCCTGCAAACACAGAGCTGTAAATGTGAACTGGTGGAAAGATAAGAAGATAATGCATTATAAAAATCGAAACGGTAAAATGTATTTATATGTTATTTAATTAATATAATAATTTATTGATAATCATTGTTTAAATTAATATAATGATTAATACTTTTGACTCATTCATTTTATTAAAAATGGTTTAAAGACTGAAATGTGAAGTGTATAATTTTATAAAACTTTTTGTTTTTGTGAAAACTTGTATCTGAACTGTAAATCATGCGTTTTACAGTCATTTTACAGTTTGTTGGAATAGAATTGGCTAGTTGGCGCTGTCCCAAAAAATAGGGTCCTAGAAATGTGGTCCTAAACTGCAGCCTCCAGTCTTGCAGGAACATTGGGTTGTTTTTGGTTCAGACTAATGTGAAACTCGACCCATGTTTTTACCCTGCAAACACACAGAGCTGTAAATCTGAACTGGTGGATCGATAAGAAGATAATTCGTTATAAAAATCGAAACAGTAAAATGTGTTTGTATGTTATTTAATTAATAGAATAATTTATTGATAATAATTAATACTTTTCCATTTTCTTAAAAATGGGGTTTAAAGGCTGAAATGTAATGTATAATTTTATAAAACTTTTTGTTTTTGTGAAAACTTGTATCTGAACTGTAAATCATGCGTTTTACAGTCATTTTACAGTTTAATATGTTATTATAGACATTGCCCTACCCCACTCATGGTATTAATTTTATTTGTGCAGGTCTTAAAAAAGGTCTTAGAAAGTCTTAAATTTGAGCTTAAAAATCCTGCAGAAACCCTGGTTTAGTAATTTCACTTTAATGGCAAATAAAAGGTTATTAGTCAGTTATTGAATGCATTATTTTAAAAAATGTTTAATGATATTTTCATAGGAGCCTGATAAAAAAAACCTCATTTGAAAGAAAAATCTCAGACGGACTTAGTGGTCTTTGCATCTGAAGTCTTAGACTTAAACTTTGAGCATAATTCTCTTGGGAATAAGTATAGTAAGTTTCAAATAGAGCTATAGAGCTAGTAAATCTGTAATTGCATCTTATGTTTTTTTTTTCTTGTTTGTTTTATTTGGTTTTTCTAATTAGACAAAATCTCTTAATCATTGATCATATGTTTCCTACTGATATTTATGCTTTGTCTTGTAATACAAAATAATTTATAAGTGAATTTCAGTGCAGATCAATGCAATCATCCACAATTACACTGTGATAACTTTCTTATTGTGTCTGTCACTGACTATTGGAAATCAGTATAATTTATCACATTTATTACAAACCTGTATTTTTATGTTTTTTTAAAAACTTTTAAAATGGCTTTAGTGCACCAATTAAACTTAAATTTGCTTTTACATTCTCTTCTTTGCTTTCTATTCTCAGTCTTCACCAGTGGCCATCTGTAATGACCCTGTCCCCTTTTGAGTAGCATTTGATTCCTAGGTTGGCATGGTCTTAGTCTCCTACAAGCCTTACATGGCAAGAGCTGCGGTCGATGAGGATCAGGTTGTCATCTTCAGTAACTGTGGAGTGAGAGTAGGGGGGGACTTGACTCTTCTAAGGATCTTTGCTTAAATCTAACTGGAGCTAAATCAGCACATCATCTTAGTTTAGCCACCCGCTCGATGTGAACATGGAAGCGATGCTGTTTTCAGAACAGAATCTGTGTGCAAGCAGCTTTACTTGCATGAACATGCATGTGGAATTTTAACATTTAGCATATCAACTAATTGAATTTGCTATGTTGCTCATTACTACACTCTTACAAATGAAGGTTCTTTATTGGCATCTATGGTTGCCAAAAAACAAAAAACATTGGAACCCTTATTTTTAACAGTGTTGTGTATCACATTTAGCAGATTTAACCTTGAAAAGGTTATGTGTCATCAGCATGTGCTTAGACATAGACATCAATCATGGGGCATAAAATCTCATAATATTTTTAAATGTACTCATAAAGAAGTGATATATTAACAAAGAATTATCATATCCACAAAATAAAATTGCCCCAAGCAAATGCAAATCTAAAACTGAAGATGCATATTGAAATATGCAGACTGAACAGAGAAGTGACCAGGTGGAGCGCAGGCTGAGAGTTTTGGTTTATGAGTGAGGAGGACGTGATTTTAACAACTTCTGGTCTGAGTGCTATCATGAAAAAAGTGTGTCAGATCAAGATACCAGGCCATACACATTCAGCTGTTCTCCTCAGAGTAGAAAGAGCAGGATAAAGAAAAAGAGGGAGTGAAGATGATCAGGGACCTGATATCTCAAAGGCATGTCTGCATACATATCCACTTTCAACCACATTGCAATTTAACATCTTGCTAAACATCCCAAACGCTCCCCCCCCTCGATCACACCACCTCCCCTTGCCCAGTACCCTCACTGTTCATTTTTCAGTGCATGGTGAATAGATCAGTTTAAAGGAGCTGGATTCTCAGAAGAAACATTTCATTATTCTTTCATAGCTCAGGAAGTTATAGTTACTTGGAGTGTTCATAAACTACTTGCAGCTATTTGGTTGATTATCGACAAACAGCTACTAAAAAAGGGCAACAACTTGACAAGGATTGAGGAATACACTGAGTTAGAGGAGGAAAAGAATATAGATACTGTAGATAGATAGATTGGGGGGGGTCTATGGGGAGTCAGTGGTGCACTGTGCCAAGGAAGGTCACATTACCCTGACTGTGGTAGAGCAAGGTTTTAAATAGAGAGACTCACACCGCACCCAGCCCTCAGCGCACTATTTTGGGGACACATGAGAGGGAAAGAGTCGGAAGGCACTGTTACTGCCACAGCCAAGATTGACGGACAACTGTTCCAAAAAATAAAAGTGGAGATCTGATCATCCAGTGTTTGTGTGTGTGTGTGTTTCCATGCATCAACTTTATTGTTTTTATGCTTTCATTGACAACTGGATTTATGACTAAATTATTTCATGCCGCATGTATGCAATAAAATCATAATCATTGAGCACGTTCAATCATCTACATGAACGCACACTTAGTTTGAGGAAGAATGACATAATTCTGCAGATGTTTGTGCTAATCAGTCCATCATCTCATTTGGCTTTATTCAACAATTCCTTCTCTTTGCTCATCGTCTTGATATAGATCTTATCATCCAACCCCTTTCCTCCACCCTCTGCTCTCGATATATGGTCATCCTCTTCTTGGAACCCCTCCTCCGTCCCGCTGCCGTCTCTAAAGTTATCATGGCGTGTGCCGCCGACCTCTCTCTCTCTCACCTCCAGCCTAAAGTGCACGCCGGTGTTTGGTGGTATGGCTGCCAGCACTTGGCCCTGTCACTCATTTGCCCTAGGCCCCCGCCCCCATCTCATTTTACCCCCGAGTTTGTCTGTCTGTCTGTCTCTGCACCATTAGTGAGGTCCGTGCTGCAGACACCGCCTTGCCCACCACACGGCTCTTCGTAGTCCTTAAGTGCTAAATCAACGCAGAGGGAACATTTTTTGTAAATTTTTCAGAAATCTACAGAACACACTGGCTTGCGAAGGGATCTTTGTGTTTGTCTGTCACTGGGGAAAGAGAGGGGAGGAGCAAGGGGCCCTTTTGGCCACTCCCACTTTCTTCACCTCAGCTCTGCCTCAAAATGTTGCTCTTGGCCTGCTATAGTTGAGGTCCAATCAGTCGGTCGTATTATCCAATCAGATCACTCAGAGCTTAGCGCAAGCCCCACCTCCTCCCCTCTCCAGCTGTCCATCACCCTGGCTGTCTTTGACTCTCTCTGTCTTCTCTTCCCTGCCTAAATAGAGCTATCTGAGAAGCTTGCTGCTGGGGCTCTTGCTGGCCCTGCTTTGTTCCTTCCAGACACCGCTGGCACCCTCAGCCTCTGTCAAAGCCCAGGATCTGCCATTCATCCGCGAGGAAGGCCTGATGGCTGATGATGATGATGACGACGACGACGACGACGATGATGACGACGATGATGATGACGATGATGAAGACGATGATGATGACGATGATGATGATGACGATGTGTCTTCTCTTCCCTGCCTAAATAGAGCTATGAGTTCTGTGGGCCCTCTGAAGGCGGACTGCTTCAAGTCCTGATGTGCAGTACAGTACAGTGCTTATGAACTGAGGACTTAAGAGAGAAAAGAGAAAAAACAAACCCAGCGCTGCAGTCTGAGCCCCAGGCCTCAATCTGGCCCAATAGATCAGATCGTTCTTTGATTTTTGTCTCGTTTTGAAAGAGCGGGTTCCACCCTTTCCTTCATCCCTATATTTGTCCTGTTTGAATTTGTAATCTTCTGCATTTGTGTCACCATGTGAAACTACAGAGAAAGAAAGAGAGACAGGGAGATGTAGTGGGGAATATACCATGGAGAGAGATCACCGTGGAGTAGTATGGACCGATAGAGAAAGAGAGAGAGAGAGAGAGAGAGAGAGACAGGAGGATGTTGGATGGTTGTGGGGAGTATAGGAATGCAGACTGATTGGACAGATCGGTTCCAGATTCTCTCTCTTTCCCTACATCTCCCCGATCTCATTCTTTCTCTGTAGAGATTCTCCATAACAGAAGTGTACACCACCCTGATCTGTCTACTTGTAAAGTCATTGTGTGATATTTAAATGATCTATATGGGGTTATAAAAGTTACATATGTTGTCTCTATTTATGCTAATATCTATTTATTTCATTATCCTTACCAAAAAGGATTCTCATTTTCTAAATAGTTGCAAAAAAAAAAAAGGAAAAAAAAATCACCCCTCTCAATATACATTCTTCGATTCTTAAACATGTACTATTGCTGGAACAATACATTTTAGTTTTTTTTTCTTCTTTTTTTCATTTAAAATAAATTAGTAAAACACAACTGGAAACATACGGTGAGCAGTCAGGGACAATATGTATGAAGTGTTTAAAGGATAAACTAGGGATGCAGCAGCACAGATGTCAGCGGAGAGGTAGCAAAAGAGAGAGAATGTTCATTCATAATTTACATATTCATGTTGATACATAAAGGACGTATCAGAAGGGAACAGGCAATACAGCAACTATCAGGAGATGCAAAATATAACTGTTTAGACTGAATCCTTTTTCAGTTGTAACTGTATTTTTAGTTTTTTTAGTTTTCCTGGTGTTTGTTTTTTCATTCTCTGTTTTGTGTAATATCTGCTGTGTCATCATTCTAAGTAGCACAATGGTGTGTTGTACAAAGCACCACATCTCTTAACCCCACTCTGAAACGAATAAATCAAAAGATCCTGTGTTTCACAGTGTAATTTCTGTTACCTCTGTTATTTTACCTTTAAATGAACACAGTGTGTGTCTCAAAATGTATTAAGCTTAAATGAATGTCTTTATCTGGATAGCATACTGTACATGTAATCAATAGAGAGAATTTATTAATTGAAGCCCAAAAAGTGTACTGTATTAACAAAGAAACCTAAATGCATTTTTAAAAGAATATTGTCATATTGTGATGATATTAATATAACATATTTATAAACATTTATTTATTTGATTTATTATTATTTTTTTTTTAAATATACAATAAGTGTATACTTTGTCATACATGGTAGTTGTACTTTTTTCACTTTTTGTGTTTGTGTATATGAATGTGTTAAAAGTGTTAAAAGTGTTATTGAATTTTATATATATATATATATATATATATATATATAGTTACTCACAAACATGTGGTGATGTGGTGAGCTGTGTATGTGCATGTGTGTGAAAGTGAGAAAGAGAAAAAAAGTGGTGTTCACGTGAGTAAGACTAATTCATTCTGTTCCTCATCACAATTCTCACCACACTTTTCACATACACACATCAATAATAATAATTTTAAAAAACACAGCTGACAATATATTTTTCAGATGATGACGATGATGATGATTATCATGAAGGATCCATTTGTTCACTGTGTGCCCACTGTGAGGTAGGACCCTCTGAGCTCTATTAGTCTAATAAAGTGCACTATTATTTGTAGTCTAATTTTAGCCAGTCTTCAACCAGTCTTGCTTTGAATTTGGCCATGATCCAGTAATTTCCCATTTCTCTCTCCCCTCAGCATTGCGACAGCTGTGATAAGTGCCCATGCAAAAAAGGAGACGACTCTGAACACTGCGACTTCTGTGATGTGAGAAACCCACCACAAACACACATTTACTAAATAACTACAATATAGTTTACTAAAGAACTCAATACAAAAAAAGCACAGAAGTTCAGAAAAAAACAGCAGTGCAACTGTGCACTGTATCATACATTCCATGATTACACTGTACTTTATTTTCTAGGCTTACAATCAAGTAAAATTAAAAAGTACTCGATTTACCTTACGGTATCGTTATTTTGACAGTCTTTTGAATTGATAGTCAATTAATTGTTTTAAAAACTATTTGTAATTAACTAATTTCAATTACCAGAATGAGTCCCACATTTGGCATTCAATCCTGTTATCATATGATTTCCCCCCAATACATAAAAAGTTGCATTGTTGAAATTTAAAGTCCTAAATTCTTCTCTCCAAACTCAAGCTATAAATTTTATGATAAATAAGAGTTTTATATAACTACAATCCAACACCTGGCCCCAAACTAACTAGTGCCTACTGAGTGATTAATGTAATTTATTATTTATTTATTTAATTATTTATTTATTATTTCTTTTTATTTAATTATATTTTTGTATCTGGTCCCTTTTTTCACTTAAAGGGGTCATATGATGCTGCTAAAAAGAACATTATTTTGTGTATTTGGTGTAATGAAATGTGTTTATGCGGTTTAAGGTTCAAAAAACACATTATTTTCCACATACTGGTGCATCTCAATAAATTAGAATGTCGTAGAAAAGTTCATTTATTTCAGTAATTCAACTCAAATTGTGAAACTCGTGTATTAAATAAATTCAATCGGGCTGGACTCCGCTTCGTCCACGGTGAAAGCCGATCCGGCGATCACAGCGCAAAGTTGAAGTATTTCCTCAGCGACCAGCACGGATCAGCTCTAGGCATGACGAAGCGGATATCGTCCTCTTTTGGAAGACCAAACAAAGTAGTTTCGCTTTCACGAGCAACGAATCACACAGTGCCTTCACGACATAGGGGGGGTGTTAGAACGAGGCGTTTTAGGTAGGCGTGGTTGACTCTTAACTTTTATAAAGAATATCTCTTTGGATTTGAGACTTTAGGCTTTGCAACTTTACAGATCTTCTTTATGCACCAAGAGCTTGTAACACTCAAAAGAGAAAGGAAAAATTGAAATTGCATCATATGACCCCTTTAATACTGTTTTTTAGGCTTTTATTCTCTAATCATGAAAAGTGCCACCAAATTAACACATTTCTGCTGAACAAAAATTTTTTACAGTGCTCAATAATAATGCATTTATTCTTTGAAAGAAATGATGGTTTGATTTACAATTTCAGTTTGATTTTCAGAGAACAAAACTACAGAAAGATGTAGAGTGTTAATATATTGCACTTACTGTAGCTGTTGAGTGAAGCTAGAGGCCCTTCAGCTGTGTTTGTGCAGATAGACAGACTAAGTGTGCATTAATGATATAATAATGACTTGCATTATAGTCACAGCATGTGGGTCCAGGCTAGTAACAGTAAGTGTTTAAATACAAATTACGTGGTTGTCTGAAGCTATAGATGGCTAAAGTATAGGGTGTTCCTTTTTCCCTACAAAACCACATGCACATATTTACACAAACAATTACTTAAAAAATCGTAGCATGAAATTATCAGGACACTTTAACTATCTTTTGTCTCTTCAGGACTGTGGAAAGTGCTACATGTGTCCTGTTTGTGAGACCGTCTGCAAGCCAGGTAAGAAACACTATACAACAATTTCATACATGCTATTTTAGTTGTTTAGATTGTGGATAATTTCAAAGTCTGATTATTTGATGATTTTACACTTTTTCTTCTAAAAGGTGGCTTTGTTGATTCTGTTTCTGGATCCATCTATAAGTAAGATAATATTCTCCTGCAAATAAACCTGCAATATTAATTGTTGTTACTAGCATAGTCATATAATGATATATCCCCTCTTCTCTTCTTTTTCAGGACTGTCGCAGACGTCTTTAATGACGACGACGATGACGACGACAACTAAACCCATTCGTCACCAGCATGTGGCCAAAAGAGGAACGTGCAATTGGGCGTTGCGTTTCACAGATTTCAGGATTTACATTGTAGCGTTATGTTCATTGTCGTTAAGTTATTTTTCTCTTTTTAATGTTACCACATCACACGCTACAGTCTGGTCAATATATATACGTGGAACTTAAATAATTTCATTAGGCTACCTTAAATTAAATGTATTTAACTGAACAACATTTCCCTTTTAAACAGTCTTGTTATTAACATAAGTTATGATATGAAATGTAACTGCAAACCTAACTGTGTTGTTTTGAGACTACTTATGGAATAAAATGAGGGAACGTTTTATTTATGTGTGTAAGTAATAATACTTTCAAAAACATACATTATATCAGTGTAGGCAGAGTATAATTGTCTGTGAGGGATGTCCTTACCGTCTCTGTTGAATAGGTTGTAATGATTTTCATTTTGCTGTCAATTTTTCCGCTGACGAAACATGATTTCCAAACATGATTTGTGATATGAAATATGGCCTTAAAGGGATGTTCATCCAAAAAACTGAACTGTGTCATCATTTACTCACCATCACGTTGTTTCAAAGTTATATGATTTTCTTTCTTCAGCAGAAAACAAAGGGAAAAGGTCTGAACTAGCAAGAGCGGGCCTTTAGATATTTGACGTCCAATAGTAAAAATGGGCTAATAAGACCATAACTAGCACATTAAATATTCATACTACATAATATATTATTAGGCTCTCTGCATGTATCATGATTGGTCAATACTCAATAATGCTAAACTGTTACTGCCATTCTCTATCCTACAACTTTAGACAATTAGCAAACATAGTAAAGGATATGAAATATGGCCTTAAAGGGATGTTCATCCAAAAAACTGAACTGTGTCATCATTTACTCACCATCACGTTGTTTCAAAGTTATATGATTTTCTTTCTTCAGCAGAAAACAAAGGGAAAAGGTCTGAACTAGCAAGAGCGGGCCTTTAGATATTTGACGTCCAATAGTAAAAATGGGCTAATAAGACCATAACTAGCACATTAAATATTCATACTACATAATATATTATTAGGCTCTCTGCATGTATCATGATTGGTCAATACTCAATAATGCTAAACTGTTTTCTCACAAATGTGAGCAGCTCATTGCCATTCTCTATCCTACAACTTTAGACAATTAGCAAACATAGTAAAGTGACCTTGGAAGGATAACTTAATTATTAAGCATCCATTTGATAAAAAAGTTGAACAGGTAAAAGACACAAAGCTGGGAGGATGAATGTAAAAAAGAGACTAATATGTTAATATGTATATGCTAATTAGTCCATAGAAATCTATCTTAGACTCAGGTAAAGAACTATAACTATATTATCGTCCAGTCACACACTAACGGACGACAAAGGCCTGTTTTTAAGCAGTTACGTCATCTGCCGCTTAAATGTCCGCGCTCTTTAACGCTGGGTGGATTCTGATTGGCTGTCAATATTTTTTATCGTTCATCAACAGGAAGAAAAAAAGCCATTCTTAAAAAGATTTCAAGGACATCATTCTTCTGTGTCTTTATCGACTTTTATATTAAAATTAGAATGATTATTAATTTTTTTAGTTATAGTTATTGTCTTTGACATGACCAGGCCTGGCTTTAGTCGTTGTCCTTGGCGTACATTGGCTTTAACATTTATTCTTTGAGTACTGTAATACAGGGGTCACCAGACTCGGTCCTGGAGGACATGCATGTTGATTAGGCAAGTAGGAGCTAAACTGTGCAGTTGGTTGCAGTTTGGTGACCCCTGCTATAATAATAAAAAAAATTGCTTTCTACGATGTAATATTTTTTAGCAGAAGCTCTACTATAATCTAGATGTAATAAAGTATTTAAATTCAAATCAGTATTTATTTTGGTGGACAAACAGACTGTGCAGCTTAACTGACAGAGAGCGCGAGCATGATACCAGCGTTCTCTGAGAACTTTTATTCTGGAATTTATGACGAACCAGGAAGTGGAGCCAAAAAGGTTCTTTCCGGTTCAGGATAATAAGAGGTAAACAGCAACGTCTGTGCTTATTCCCGCACTTTCAAACCTGCTATTAATCTATGATATAACAAATTGCGTTTGATTTATGTGTAGCTTCCGGCTTATTGTTGTAACGTTAATGTGTGATATCTTTTATGGATTGCCTCGCTAGTTCACTAAGCAATTATCCAACATAGGCCAACGTGTAGTTATGTGAAACTGTGTGCAAAATCTGTTCACCAATACCGTAAAAACAGTTAATTTTGTTCTGTAAAGCATGACTCGACACGGGAAAAACTGCACAGCAGGAGCCGTTTACACTTATCACGAGAAGAAGAAAGACACCGGTAATGTATCCCTGCTGGTCTTATGTATTTATGTGTGTCATGAAATGATTGAAATGAAATTACAATATCAAATTGTGCATCTCACTTAATATTTCCAGCCGCTTCTGGTTACGGGACACAAAGTGTGCGTTTGGGGAAGGATGCGATCAAAGATTTTGACTGCTGCTGTCTCTCCTTACAGCCCTGCAGGGACCCCGTCGTAACGTACGAGCCACATTTGCACTCATCGAAATGTTTCAATGCTGAAATTGTCTGCATGAGGTTTTTTAACGCAGTCTTAAGTGGTTATACTGAGTGTTTCTGGACCATTTGCGTGTCAGCTGCTTGGAGACTGGGATTAATGTGTGTTTGTTTATATTTGCTTACTGCAGTAAAGATGGATACTTATATGAAAAAGAAGCCATCCTGCAATACATCCTTCACCAGAAAACAGAAATTGCCAAGAAAATGAAGGTTTGAGCACTTTTTACAAATGTATTTTGCTCTGAATGTGAATGCCCTTCACTGTTTGTCTAACAAACACACACATATTTTTAAACTCAGGCATATGAGAAGCAGAAACAGGCTCTAAAGAGTGAAGGCCAGCTGGAGTCCAAGTCTGAGGAGCGAGAGAGAGCTGAGAAGTTCAAACAGAGAGAGAACAACATTGTCTCCAAGCCAATCAACCCCTTTACCTCAGGTATGAAAACCAGACAAGGCGGTTTAAACTTAAGTACAACACAATGAGATTCCTGCTCGATTATGTGTGTATATACCTCATGTTTCTGTAGAGAAATCTAAGGACGAAGGAAGCCAGAAGGGCTCAAGCAGCTCCACCAGTTCTGACACAGGAGCGTCCAGTTCCTCTTCAGCTCTGCCCAGCTTCTGGATCCCCAGCCTCACACCAGAGGCCAAGCCCACCTTGCTTAAAAAACCCGTAGGTCTCTAGATCTGTCACTTTCCCCTCTTTGCCAGCCACGTGTCCCTAACCTTGGGTCTTCAGTAGTCAGATGTCCTTCATGGAAGAGCATTACACAAGAGATTGTGCTTACCCTGAAATCAGTTTGCATGCCAAGTGTTCTTTTGATCGGTCATGATGCCCTTGATTGGTTTGTTTGTCTTTCTCTCCTCCTGGTTTGGTCAGTTCTCCACTCTGTTTGTTCAGTAGCTTCTTGTGTCATGATTGTCCTCTTTTAAAGGATCTCACCCTGTATGGGGCACTCAATATACCTCACAGATATATTAACTCTTTTGACATAATCTATTATCATTAACTGTTTTTCCTTCTCTCCTGCTTTTTCAGTCAAAGACAGTGTTGTGCCCCATGTCAGGATGTCCTTTGAAGATGAGTGATTTGATTTCAGTGCGCTTCACTCCACTGGACTCCAGTCTGGACAGAGTGGCCCTCCTCACACGCCAAGTAAGAAGCCTTAATTTTTGAGCTTTATGTATGTATGTATTTATTTATGAGCTGCATCTCTCTTTCCATTTAATACTGTATACAATACCTTTCAAAAATTTGGGGTTGGTAAGATTAGAAAACAGTAATAAGAATGGAAAACCGAAACCACTGTGAAATAATATTACAATTTTAAAGTTTTCTATTATAATTTTAACATATTAAAATGTAATTTATTCCTCATAGCTACATTTTCAGCAACCTTTACTCCAGTCTTCAGTGTCACATGATCCTTCAGAAATCAATCTCAAGTAGGGATGTAAGAGCCGGTCGAAAATCGTAATGTGTGACAATTCAAGTTGGTTCAGATGTAAAACAAATCGTGATACAATTGCTGGTGAGGATTTATAAATGTATTTCTGAGGAAAACTGACTGTCTTCAGAAAAGTTTACATGGTATTTTCTTTGCATCTTGCCTCAGTATAATAAAAGACTATAGAATACCCAAGACGTGTCACTCGTATAGTTTTGATTGGGGAAAAATGCAACGTTCAATATGGCTGCTCAATCGCAGGAAGCCCCGCCATCTGAAGGAAAGAGGTTTAGAGAGCACATTTTCAAATAGGCACTGTCTTTATATATAAACCGCAGATTTGAGTTTTAAACGACTACATTCTCGCCTGAAATACTTTTAAAACTACATTTCATGACACAATAACATTATTGTGATTAACAGTAATATTTAAAAAAATTATGCGATTAAATGGTGGTTTTAATACAATGCTGTGTGAACTCAACCAATCAGCATGCTCAGCGCCCAAGTCCCGCCCCCAAAAGTTCCAGACCTTTGAAAAAGTACTACCTCGTGAGCAGGGACTTTCTGAGGGGCAAATTTTTACCTGGAACTTTATTTAGATCCTGGTTCCTGAGGTGGAAACACACCGAGTACCGGCCCAAAGTCCAAAAGTTCCTGCGGTGGAAACGGGGCTTATGACAGTTGTCAGATTTTTTTGCTGATCTCAAATATGAAATTTAATTGTAAGCTTAGTAAACAGTTTTGGAGAATTTGATGTTTCCCCATTCAAAGAGATTGTAGCTGCACTTGCATTCCCGAGAGGTGTTTCAAAGATGGCTGCCGAGTGACATGACTTGCCTTAAAGAGACTTTGGTATAATGCATATTGAAGTAGTTTATAAATGCAGTGTTGCTTTGTTTACAGCGGTAACCAAGGAAACGCTGTATTACCGCTGTTCCATAAGCACCACCTGCTGTCAGAGAGTGAATTTAGGAAAGGTTGGAAGGGAAGGAGTTCCCATAACGGAGAAATATCTCCGTGATGTCTCGTTCCCGCTCTCAGGGAACCGAGGTTACGATAGTAACCGGAGCGTTTTCTTTCAGCCCGTCTGCTTTTATGTAGTTTTGTTGCATAATTTTATTTCACGAAGTCAAAGTAAGACTATTGTGTTCTGAATCAGATGCTTTTTTAGTACAAGGTGCATTTTCTGCTAGAAAATGTGAACATGAAATTTCTTAAAGGGGTCATATGATGTTGCTAAAAAATAACATTATT